ATTGTTGGTTTAAAAAAAAAGAAAAGAAACCATCAGAGAGGGAGAGCAGTTTGCGGTATACTTCAATGGCTGAAATCTATAAACTATAAGTGTGAAAACACACTTATGCACGCTGAAACAGACCAGATGGGATATTTAGCCTTAGCTATCAGGAAACACCCCATGATAGTGATGGATGTTGTTTGAGTGCGTGTGCGTGTGTTCTTCTGCATACCGTGAAAACACACAATTGTTCATTTCTTATTTAACTAACTTATATTTAACTAAGACGCCTCTGAGGATTAAATAGAAACCTGGCAAGAGGCTTTTCGTTTCAAAATGACAAACAGCAGGAGGGCTGCCGATGTGTCGCGGTTAGGAAAGGAGAACTTTTAACCAGAAAACATTTTTTTTTTTTTTTGCAGCCTTAAAAACATCACAGGAAAAAAATGTCAAGAATAGAAGAAGAGGGAAAAACCACCAACTGATGAGTCACCGCGACCAAGATACGGTGATTCAACTGAATGTTTACAGGCGAAATAACTCAGGTGGCCCACGTTCCGCTCCGTTTGAAGACGGGATCCTTTGTTCCCGCAGCTGTTTGCAATGAAACGCTGAAATAAGTAGCACAAAATATGAGATGCTCCTCAAGATCACAGACTTGTTATCTGGTACCCGGCGGAGACGACTACAAGCCGACCGCTGGAGGTGCTTTACAACTATGTGACGTGGGACCAACGTTATGAAGTGAGCGTAGATTAGCGCGGATAATGTGATATCGTAAATACCGAAACAAACATGCTTATACAGATATTTCTGGACAGGAGTGTTTCCAAAACGGTGTAGTATTGGAAGCAGAACATACTCTGGAGAAAATCTAAAGGTATGGTTAGAAAGGGGAAGTTTAACTTGATTGTCTCAGTTTCAGAATTACACATTTTCCCGACCAAAACCAAAACTTCATAAACATTGTGTTTTGTAAATACCTTGGATTTTATCATTTACTCTTCCGACCACTCGAAGCGCTTTAACACTACACGTGATTCACCCTCCTTCATACACTGATGGCAGGCTACCGTGCAAAGTGCCCCCATCCATCACGAATAACTAAGCATCCGGGAGCAATTTGGGGTTAAGTGTCTTGCCCAAGGACACACCGCCAGGGACTGGAGGAGCTGGGCATCGAACCGCTAACCAGTAGGGAAAGCTCACATGCACTAGACACACAGACATTACTTCACTATATATTTACACAGCACACAGTAGTGTGTTGCTATACTAATGTTCAGATTGTTGAATACAGCTCCTTTACGTTATTGTTGGCCCTTGCCTTGACTATGTCGTGTAAAAAAGCCCCATTACAAACTATACTATAGAAGCACCAAACCCAACTGTATTAAGTGGATTGAAAGAGTTTAACTATAAAACTTAGATAGTTATTGCATTTTAAGATCCTAACTCCAATGAATCTCCATCACTGTCTGAACTTCCTGATACTTTATGCAGGTTTGCGTCATCTCTTCGAAGTCGCATGTATTCTACACATCCATCAAAAAAAACTGCTTGCAGGGACAAGCTGAAGTACTAACTCGTACTGAACTACACGTGTACTGCAGCTTCTTCTTCAACTATCAATTTGTGTTCGTCGGACAGGTAGAAGGTTACGAAAGAAGACAGGAATGAAGGAGCAAATAAAGTAAGTGGCATACAACAGTGACGGTTCTGAGCAGTACGGCGGAGAATGTTTGAAACTCTCACAGGAGCAGTGGGTTTGATCCAAGCGTCATTACTGACATTCTTTGGATTTTCCGCTAAAAACACACAACACTGGAGTTGTACAAACTGATAAGTTCCCAGGCCGCGAAAGCAAGAGTCTGCTCAGTTTTGCATTTGATATGGAACATTTTCAAGCAACCATTACAAGCATGGCAATGACTTCCTGTAAACTATAAACAGAGAGCATTTAACAGACTTCTGCAGTCTGGAGCATTGCCTTCGATCAAAGGAAATTGGATTTATCATATGGAGAATCGTGTCATTGCTATTCAACATTAACGACACAGTTCAGAACTATATATTTCTGAATCTGATTTTCTCTCGGATGGAAAATGACATGCAGGACTTCCCCCATTGTGCTGACAGCTCAGCTGCTGTTACGGGAGGCTCAGCAATAGGATAACCAGGGTAAGGCATTAGGGCATCATTCTCACATTTCCCCCGGTAATAATTATTCCATTAGTTCCAGAAGGGAGGCAACCAGAGTCAATGTTGGCCAGAATATGTGCAGTGCTGCCATGCTCTGCTGCTCGTCCACGACAGATCCATCATGCTGATACTCGACGTGTCGTTTCCTGAGGGCTGGGAAATACAGCAGCAACAAGGGGGGATCTCTGTGAGAGGGAGGCATCATCACCTCTCCATTCTGCGTACACGCTCGACTGCACACACACACACGCACGCGCACACACACACACACATTTCTACTGTGCACACTGACACCTGAACAAAGTCTGCATGTTCAACCACGATCAGTTCTCCTTTATGATCACATTAAAAACATTAAACCAGTGGCATTTATAACTACTGCAACACTCCTACAAAATAAAAGATTGCAAGTGTAACCCGTGGACTGTATAGAAGAAGGTGTACCCGCACAGCCAAGTATATCCCTCGCAGCTCATTTTGAAACAAATCTCCAGTCAACAACAACTTCCGATTGCAGCACAACTACTCGAGATTCAGAGCTCGTCCAGACTAACTAGCTGGCTAGCGCTGTTGCTCCCAAACAAAGCCCCCATTGTCTGGAACTTGTAGTCTTAACGTTTTCTCTTGGCCCTCACAACTGTGATTAACTCAGGTACAGAAAAACTACAAATCCAAAGTCTGTACGGTGCTGTGGGCATGCGCACTGGGACCTTAATGAGCAGGAAGGTTGTAGAATATTTCGTAGTTAATGAATTGTTGCGGGTAGCGGTGTGTTTGAGGCTAAAGACCCACTCTGGTAGCCCCGGAGGTCTAAGTGTGTGGACGGTGTCCGGTGGTGCTCAGACTACCGGTAGTAAAGACTAACGTAGTAACGAGCTCGTCCTCTGCATTCACTGAAGTTGGTCTGCTCGGCTGCTTCTCGGTGTTTGCTCTGCTCACTTTTCCAGCGCTTTGAATGTGTCGCCCTGTTTCAGCTCAAACTGTTCTGAGAAAACCCAAAAAAGAGTGCACACCTTACCGGACGCCGTTCCGGTGTTTCGGCTCGGCTCCTATTCCGTTTAAAATAAATCTCCAGGCATTGTGGAAACACTCGTTGCGGCCGACGGTCGACTGCCTGTTCACCCAGCGAGACGGTTGCCAAGAATGCTCAACCGAAACCACCCGCACGCTCACTGCGCATGCGCAGCTCCGGTTGTGCGCAACATACTGATAGTAACACACAGGGGGCAGCACGTTACTACCACTATGTGGACCTGTGGACACCACAGACTGTACATAGGAACATGTGTGTGGACACCATAGACTGTACATAGGAACATGTGTGTGGACACCATAGACTGTACATAGGAACATGTGTGTGGACACCACAGACTGTACATAGGAACATGTGTGTGGACACCATAGACTGTACATAAGAGCATGTGTGTGGACCATATGGCTGTGTAATGAAAATATGAGGAATTAACTGTGAATATTAGAAACCACATCTGAGTGTAAACACATGGAAATAACACTAGAGAAGCATTCTGTATAATGTAGCATGCTGCATGGTCGCAGTTTGATTTTGCATCGCACACAAATTAGTCAACAGCACAACCTTGTGGCTGCTTAACAAAATCAGTCCTCTGATATCAGAATCAACTTCATTGGCCATGTTCGAGTACACACGGAATGTGACTTCGGTAATTCGTTGCTTCCATGTACTTTGACAGAAATAGACAAACAGTCAGGTAAACATGCACATTACACTACATTATATCCATACAAATTAAGATATGTAGCATACATGTCTTGATGAGTCAAACTAGACATTTAATGTCTAACTAACATTGTATAAGCCAGCCATCTTTGGAGGAGCAAACGGCAACTATATCTGCTCTGTGGTCTTAAAGGCAACAATGCAGTCAGTCTGATCAGCTGTAACACCAGACCAAAGCCTACAACCTATCTATTCTGAAGTCTGCAGCTCCGGCAGCTGTCTCTGCACCAGAGGATGGTGTTGATAATGTGATAGCAGTAATTATAGTGATTTCTCCAAAAAAAAAGTTGGAACAATGGTAAAACATTGTTTAAACCTTATTTTCTGCTTGGATGAAGAGAAATAGAGAACTAAGTTTGACTCAAATGACACCTGTATTTCTGAAAACGCAAAAGATACTGAACCTCCACTAAATGCTTTGTGTTTCATCATTAGGCACCAGGGGGCAGTGTAGCTTAAATTATTAAGGGTGGGAATACTACTTCTACAACTGTAATGTCTTTTTCTGAGGAACACAATCCTATGCATATCAGTTCAAATGATGACAATATATGTATCCTCTCATTGATACATATAATAAAGTAAAAACCCATAGGGAGTATTTTTGCAGTAAAGGTGCATGTGAAGCGCCAGCGTATTTCAAGAATCTTAGATCCACTGTTCTTCAGTTATTTGCCTCAAACTGCCAAAGTGTCCTTGAGCAACATACTCAATCCCTGCAAGCGGGGGCTGTTGCTCTTTAACTGACCTTCGACCATGTACATTTTCCAGTGAGAATGAATCACTCTATCCTTGTATTACATTATCACTAAACATTGTAGGTATTGCTCATAGGGCAATGCACTGTAGTGTAGAATAAACCAATTATATGTATTAATATTATGTACTTTGACGACAATTATTTCCCTTATGATTGCAACATCGCTAATTATTTTTGCCAAATGCGCGGCCAGAAAGATGTAGGTCAGCAGGAGATCCCTCAGGTACTACATTACCCACAATGCAACAGCACTCGCTCACCACCAGCACAGTCTAGTCTCGCTCCAACCATCAGACCGTCCTCCTCTCCGCCCTGCACGGTGAGCTGCACCCTGATCTGCGCACACGTGATGGGAGTAAATACGCACACAGCCTGCGCGCCTCCACCATCGCTATGTTTTGTAGATCGGTGACAGAGGGAGCGCTTGTTCTCACGTATATGTGGACGGCACCCCGGCGTATTCGGATGCAAAGCCAGCCCACAGACTGACAGCTCGGTGCTCGAGATGTCACGTCTCTTTGGAGGAACAGTGTGTTTGAACACGACGGACCTCTGGACAGCCGGATGAGCAGCACCAACACGGAGTCCCGGGTGCGAGTTTTAGTTCCTCGCCAGTGACCTGGACGGTCCCTCTTTACTCGGATGTAACCACACGCCCATGCGACGATATCGGTGGATCTTGCAGCCAGTGTCCAGGTTAGGTTACAGTAAACGCTAATTGTTTACGTATTAAAGTAGGGCTGTTTGGGGCGGAAGACGTCAACTGGGACTGGATACAACATATATAAATAACCGTTTCTATTAATATTATTACTTTTATTGTTATTATTGACATTATTATGCTATATTATTATTATTAAGATGGGGGTTCGGTCAATCTATAAGGGAATCATGGAGCCTTCTGTAGGCTAATGCTGCAATGCCACCATGCAAACCATCGTTGACATTATTCTCCACCTTGCTGCCGCCGTGTGATGGTTTCTGTCATTCCTAAAGAAGTCGTGGACATTTAAACTATCGATTGACGATCCGTAAATGCCATGCGTGCTCTTGGGGCAACAGGACATACACGCTGGCATCCTTTTACCGTTTCCAGTGAAGAAGAGTTTCTTTTCTCACCGAGGACTCGTCTCCATCTCAAATGTAGCCCAGCAGAGGCGACTGAACCAGGCCGCTGCACAGAGACGGAGGCCGGTTTGTTGTGCTCGCACTTGGCCGGATGCTGAACACGGTGCCACTTTACAGCTCTGTATTGAACACATGCCGCCGGCTTGTTTCTGTAATTCCCCTGCTGTCTTAAAATGGACGGGCTCTTTTTGATAAAGGCTATTCATGGACGTTGAACCGGCTCATGTAGGATTCAGCCTGGACCGCGGATATTTCAAAATGCAGTGTGGAAGAGAAAACAGCCCGTGTTCACGGTGATGGCTGGCGGGGGAGGTGCATCTACGCCGGGCTGCATGAGGAATAACGAGGACGCTTGCTCAGAGGATTTCTCTCAGCTCAAACACAGACTGATGTCTTTATTGGCAGCCTAAATAGTCCATATTCCACACTAAGATTATTCAGTTGTGTATTTCTTCGTGTCTCTGTGGCCCCCAGAGTCAAAACACCTGTCCTCAATGAGCTGATATTCAATTCAGAAGAGGTTATGTGTTTATCAGGGCAAATTATTCAAAAGTATAAATCATGAACCCAGAGTCGGTCTCGGTTTAGTTTGGATGAACTCTGCTTTATTGTAACAGCAATTGTAGGACACTTATAACAAGTATGTAACTGTTTTATTAATTAATAAAGGCAGCAATTGAGAGACCAGAATCCACCCACCGATCAGGAATCAGACTGAAGGCATCTTTCTGAAGGATTTCATCAGACCTGCTGTTTCTTAGATAAACAAATACTCAGGTCTCTTGGGCAGCTTTCCAAAAGAAACAATAGTGGAAACAATCAATTAGGTTTGGGGAGGTTAAACTCGTGGAGTGTCATTGTTTGACCTGATGTACATTGTCCCTGAGTGAACTTGCCTTTGGGAATACATGTTACTTACACACTGCCTAGCAACAGCACAGCAGCAACCGGTGATAGGATTTGGCACAGTTTCAACAGCGAGATGTGGTGATGGGGGGGGAGCAGTTGCAGCTCTCTGATCCTCTGATCCCTTCACCCCCCCACTGCTGGTGGAGGACGTCTCATCTCTGTCAATGGGCCATGTATGGATTTTGTGCTTGAGTTGACCGAGGGCAGGCCTACAGCGTCAAACAGAAGTCAGGCTGCCATGAACCCATACGGCAGAGCGAGCAGCACAGCAGCCCCCCTGTCCTGCACCAGCTGTGGGGGCTGCTGCTCACCGCCTCCCCCTTGCCTAATCCCGCCCGGGCCCCCCTCATCTACTACCTCTTCCTCCTCCTCCTCCATCGCCCCGAATATGACCCCGCCTCCGCCGATGTGCCCTGCCCCGGTAGTGCAGGTGGAGAATGGCAGCAGCTGGAACTCCTCCACCATCTCCTCCTCTGGCTCCCCAGACTCACACCCTGGTCACCGCTGTGGCGCCAACAACCCCAACCCCTTCTGGACGGCAGTGTTCGACTATGAGGCCACAGCAGATGAGGAGTTAACCCTGCGGCGCGGGGATCTCCTTGAGGTTCTCTCCAAAGACTCCAAAGTGTCTGGGGACGAGGGTTGGTGGACAGGCAAGATCCAGGACAAGGTGGGTATCTTTCCATGTAACTACGTCACAAGGAGGGACGCCGCCAACTACCAGCAGCTGACCGCAGGAGGGCTGGTGGCAGGCGGGGTGGGTGAGTGTCCCTTAGAAATAGACTTCACAGAACTGCACCTGGATGAGGTGATTGGAGCCGGTGGGTTTGGGAAGGTGTACAAAGGAGTATGGCGGGGAGAGGAAGTAGCAGTAAAGGCCGCCAGGCAAGACCCCGATGAGGATATTAGTGCCACAGCAGAGAGCGTGCGGCAGGAGGCCAGGCTGTTCTGGATGCTCCGGCACCCCAACATAATATCTCTGCGTGGCGTCTGTCTGCGGGAGCCCAACCTGTGCTTGGTGATGGAGTACGCCAGAGGCGGGGCTCTGAACCGAGCGCTCGCTGGAAAGAAGGTTCCCCCGAGGGTTCTGGTGAACTGGGCGGTCCAGGTCGCCACAGGGATGGACTACCTGCACAACCAGGCATTCGTATCCATCATCCACAGAGACCTCAAGTCCAGCAATAGTAAGTACTGCAAAACAAGTGAGGCTTATCATCACAGAGACTCTTCATCAGTGGATGGAGTTTGCTCGGTGGTCATGGAGATGTTTCAGCCATTATCATGTGACCTTAAATGTTATAACAGGTGTTTTTACAGGTTGAAAAGCATAATCCTGCTATCATATGACCAAAATGTGGCCAAAGGCGCTAAAATATTTACACTAAGTAGACTAAGATATTCTTTGTCACAGTGTAATTCCCAGGGTCCATAATGAACCTAAAGCTGAGAGGCTCAACACCAGGTACATATGTGAGGCTGCACATGTGTAAAATAGCAGCACAACAAATACACAAAACACAGCTCCCCTGTGAACACACCTAGCTAAAACTAATGCAATCTAATGCAACAGTCCTGTAATATATTATACCTTTATGAAGGTTATAATTTTCAGTTTTTGTTGAAACAGGTTTAGGTGTTGATTCAACTTTCAGGTTATATTGTAGTTTGAGCTGCTGACTTATGATGCGTTGAACTGAAAGCTGTGTCTAATATTATAACTTCATAAAGGGATTTATTACAGTGTATTTTCCCCTGTTCATCTGTTCTTAACACATGAGATGAACAACAGTATTTTGTTGGTGTAAAAGTGATATTGACAGAAGGAGGCAATTTTAGGCTAATGTCATCACATGTTGCCCATAGTAGCAATGCATCTGTTGGGAGGGCAGCTTGGCTTGTAGGTATGACTTCAGTGAGGAGAAGGTCTCCTGTAGTTCCCTCTCTCCATCCTTGTGAGATTATTTTGTTGATACTTAATATATTGCAAGACTCCAGGAATAGTTTGACATTTTGAGAAATACGCTTGTTCTCGATTCTAGATATGAAGATCGATACCACTTTCATGTCTATATGGTAAATATGAAGCTATAGCCAGGAGGCAGTTAGCTTAGCTTAGCACAAAGACAACAGAAACAGAGGGAAACAGCTAGCTTGGCTCTGTCCAAAGGTACTCAAATTACCTGCACCTCTAAAGCTCACTAATCAACATGTTTCAACTCATTTGTTTTGTCCGTACAAAAAGTAAAATTAGTGTGAAATCAAAATTCATATTTTACAGACGGATATGAACCGGACTATTTCTTGTCCGGGGTGCTTTGAGTCAGCTTCAGAGATGCTGGTAGAAGATCTGTTTCCTCCTGTGTCCACTCTGTGCTAAGCTAAGCTGACTCCTACAGTATAGTCTCCTGGCTCTAGCGGTGTCGATCTTCTCATTTCTAATTATCATCCTTTAAAATGGCAAAATCTTTCACCTTCAGCAGAGATCAATTATTTTACAGTACTTAAAAACAGGACAAAAATATGAAATAAGAGAAATACGTTATACAAGTAACAAATTAACCACTGAGAAAGAGGATAAGGTGATAAGGTGATATGTTGTATTGACTAATTGTCCCACTTCTAAAATTTACATTGACATGTAATATAGTTAATTTGATTGGCCTTTATTAAATCCACCGGGACAAATATAAGTGGACATTTACAAATGTACAAACAGTCATTCCGCCTTCTCGTAATCATTTCTTGACTTTACAGATGATTATCAAGTGTTGTCATTGAATATTAACAGACAGAGACAGGAAGGCCTAAGTCCTGGAGAGCTGGTCTCCTTCTGCCATCTTTTCCCTGTCATCTCTCTCTGCACCTCCTCCTGCTCCTCATCCTCCTCCTCTCTCCTCCCCTCCTCAAGGAGAGCAGTTCTGCTCTGCAACTCACTGGGCTATTTTTGGTCCTTTGTGCTACTTGCTGTTTAAAGACGCAGTTGCAATTGTTGGTGCATCAAAGACATAACACAGCGAGCATCTATGTGCATTCTGTGTGTGTGTGTGTGTGTGTGTGTATACGTGGAGGTCAGACTGCGTGTGTTTATGCCAAGTGACATGAGTGATGGGGGAGGGAGTGTACAAACATGGGTGGAGTGTGCGGGATGCTGACTAAAGGCCTTTTAAAGAGGGAGACAGTAAGTGAAGCTTAAACACACTCGCTGCTTCATCTTCCCAAATGTTTCCTAATCTTCTATCCTGCACTCTGTCTTCTTGAGTCTCACTCTTAAACATGCACACCCTGCTTCCATGTCGCCCTCCTCCCTGTGTGGCTCAGTAACAGTAACATGACGGGGGGATCAGATGCGTATTGGACAGCAGAGCCTTGGCAACAACGCCATAACGCTGCCTTTCCATGGTGACATGGGCACTGCTTCTGTGCCACTGAGTCATACAGCTGCTAGCCGCTGTCAGCTGCTGCACAAAATGTCAGTCCCCCAATTTAGAGTATTGTCTGTGTGAAAATAGCAACTGAACAAGTGCAGGAATGTCTCACGAAGGGCTCGGAAGCTGTTTTCCACCCCGATTGATGACTGAAAATGTGTGGGTGCTAATCGTTAAGTATGTGATTAGACTGTGACTCACACCCATGTACTGAGGGATGGTTGCATTAGCCTGCCGATGCCCAGAAGGGTGAAGCATGGAAAGAAAGTGAGAGAGACAGAGTTAGAGAGTGAAAAGGTCGGGAGAATAACAGGGTGGAATAGATCAGGTTGTGGAGGGAAAATGAGCTCGAGGACCAGAGAGAACGGAGATGTATGTTGCGAGAGAGGCGACTGATGGGAAAGAACAAGAGAAGGAGAGCGCGGGGGATAAACAGCGGTTCATCTCAGTTTTGGGTTACACCTCAGCTCATTGTCCAGGTGCGCTGGTCTCAGGTGTCCTCTTCAAGCCGCCGACCACTTGGCATCGCTGCGGTTACAGAGCAGCTCAGGCCCCCGAGCCTCTCCTCTGCCTTCCATCAGCCGGGTTCTGCGCTCAGTAAAAAACACAATCTTACAGTAAGATAACGACTGAATCTTCATTCTCCCTCAGAAGAATTCATCAAGGCAAAACGTGACACTGCTCATAGACTCTGTGTGTTTGACGCTTTGCTAACATTTTACAACACAGGGATTGTTTTTCTATTTTTGGCTCACTCACGTGCTTTCATCTAATTTTATCACAGCCAAGTTAAATATTTTTTTAAGGCGTGTCCTTGTGCTGGTGTGAGAGTTAATTGTAGTGTCGTTGTTAAGGCCCACAGAGGTGAGTGAGTCTGTGTGACGGGGATAATCTGATTACCGTGACCTCCTTCGAGTGATGTCACAGCATGTTTGTGGGTTGGCAGGTCATGGCCCCCGTGGTCACGCCTTACCTGTCACTCTGATCCTGGATCAGCCTCTAGTCTCTCAAAGCATAGGGCACCAGTCCTCTTTGACTGGCTTGACACGTGGGGTTAAAGTAGAAACAATGGAAAGATCCAGAGTGCTCTTGATCAATATAGACATTCGAGTGTGAGACAAGGCTGCAACTTTCATCAATTGTTTGTTTTCTTGACATTGATTGTATGGTTTTTAAAATGCTGAAAACCCCCAAATTTGACACATTCAAATATCATTTTGTTGTCTGACCAACTGTTCAAAACCAAAATATATTCAGTTTAATATCACAGTAAGAAAAAGAGTAACTATTCACATTTGAGAATCCGGAATCAGTGCATTTTTAGAAATATTTGCTTATAAAATGAGAAAAGTTTAAGATTAAGTTAGTCGATAATCAATTCAACTAATCAGTTCAGAACCATATGAGACTAGATAATGATTTTGTCAATCATATCTTAATATAACTAATGTTATATTTTTCGTAATTGCATGGCTTCATAATAATAATAATAATTTAGTAGGATAGTTTTATGAACCAAAAGTAAGTGAGGTAAACATACGTCATCACCTTATATGCAATAATTATATATATAATTATATATCTCATATCCTGGCAGTGGTGTGTGTGTGTGTGTGTGTGTGTATGTATGTATATATATACAT